CTACTGTGTCATGGTTTCAGACCTTGTGGCATAAACCAGTGTACCCTAAGCATTGCATTCTAGTGTGGCTGATCATATTGGTGAGAATCAGGACTAGAGACAAGTTGATAAGTTGGGGGGTGAGATGTGATGAGTGCTGTGTTTTATGTCCTGGGGGTAAAGAAAGTAGAGAGCATCTTTTTGGCTTCTGTTCGTTTGGGATTTCAGTTATGCAATAGCTTCTTAAAGGAGTTTGGTCTTTTCCAGGGTTCTCTAATTGGTAGGGGCATCTTGTCTGGGCAGAAAGCAGTTGGTCTACATCTTCTGATGTAGCAGTTGTTAGCAGGGTGCTCTGGTTGATGGGATTAAGTGGTATATGGAGGCAGCGCTGAGCGATGTTCTATCGATCAGTAGTAGTCAGCTCCCTGTTTCAAGTGGCGGCAAAGATTAAGCAAGAATTCCTGGTGTTTGCTGGCAGTCATACCAATTTCCAGTTGAGAGTGCAGAAACTTAATGTAACTAGTTTTTTCATTGAGTTGTAAACATACAGTGACGTTTTGAGAGGGAAGTTGTGAGTTGCACTTCCACGGGCTTCAAATACAATTTTTGATTAACCATAAAATAAAATATGGGAAATATTGCTAATAAGGAGTGTGATAAACACTACATGCAACATCGAGCCTACTAAACTCACTCAAAGAATTTTGGTAAGTTACGATTATTTTTTCCAGAACAGTTTTGTCATAAAAAGATTTTTAATTTGACAATCCTATAATTTGTCAAAATATCATATCCTATTATGACAAGAGTAGAGTTGCCAGAAAAATTTGTCAAAATAAGCTTTTATTATGACAAAATACTTGTTTGTCATTAGTATTTGTCAACATATGGTGCTCTCGGGTGAGAATAACGATCTTGTTATGACAAAAGCCTTGTCATAATAAAAGTAGTCAGAGTAGTATACGGGTGTGACGAGTATTTTGTGAAAATATCGTATGACAAAATGCTAAGCTGTCAAAATATATGTTAATTACCTATCGACTAAAGTGAAATTGTTTTCGACTGACGGGATATTATGGAGTGAAGGAGAAAAATTATCTCCAATTCTCAGGTGAAAAGAAAAATCAATCGGCGATGGAGGGAAATCAGGGCGCTTCTTTTTATCATTTGCCGCCCAAAAATTAAGAAGTCTAGCTCCTCTCTTCCCCCTTTCCTTCCTTTCGTTGTAGGAGATTAACGAGATTTTAATTTCTAGATTGCTCATCTCCATAACCCGCTCCATCCCTGCAAACCTGATTCACCGCCGTCCCTGCATCCATTTTCGTCCATGCATCCACTGCCTTCCCCGCATGTAAGAATCCTCGCAGCCTCCTGTTTCATTGTTCTTTTTTTTTTCTTCAGTTGCTAGGTTTTCTTGCTTTGGTTGCATGTTCTATTCCGTCCCAAGAGGAAAGGAAACAGATTGTGCGATTGATTTCTGATCCCTAACCATTGTCTGATTGCTTGCCCAGCGGAAGCATCACCAACAATTTCAGAGATCCTCAATCGTCTAGATTCATATATTTGCAGTACGTCATGAGAAAAATGGAAGAGGAGTTTCGAAGCCCAGGTTAGCACCCCTCTCAGTCTCTTCCCTTGAATGGCTGCATTTGTAAAATCATGGGTGCTTACTTGTTCTAGATTGACATTCGAATTCTGCGAGTTTTCTTTTGTTTCCTGTCAATGTGTGAGCTTGTAATTTGGTCGTAGGTAGGTTTCGATATGATAAATGGGCATTTGGGTTGGTTCTTGATATGGTTGCAATCTTCTTCAGTTGTTTGTTCACATCGCCATGACTGAAAGCATTAATAGGACATCATTAGTGTGCTAATCTAGGTAATGTTTCTGGTGAGGGGAGTATCCTAGTAGCCTATTCGGCCCTAACTTACCACGTTTGCATTTTTTTCTCCCCAGGTCCTAATTATTTTAATCCTCCTTCTCCTGCACCAGCTGTGTGAACTATTGGAGTTCCATTGATTTTTATGGATCTGCAGCAAAGGAACATCGATTTGTTCAAGTTAGTTCACTTTAAGTGCACTAGGAGAATGGATAGGTCGTGGTTGAAGCTGAAGGAAAAATTATGTCCTGAGTATGTACACAGTGTTGATGACTTGATATAGTGTGCCATGCATTATCTTGATGGTCAAGGTAGAGTTAGATGCCCATGCTGAGGGTGCAACAATTGCTCATTAAAGACCATTGAGTTAGTGAAAGCTTATATCTACAATCATGGAATGGTTCAGGATTACGTACGGTGGGTTAATCAGTGGAACTTGCAGTTGATATTGGTAGTAGTAGCCTAACGATTTCTCCTCCTCGTGTTGAGGAAGATCGAGGAGAATTTTTTTGTTGATACATACATTCCTACCTTGTTAGATGACTTAGGTAGAGCTAAAGTCGCACAATTACCTGAATTTGGAAGCGCCATTAGGATTGCTGGGGATATTGATCTCACATTAGAAAAGTTGATTAAGGATGCTAAAGCTCCACTTTTTCCTGGTTATGAAACCTTCTCCAAACTTTCATTCACTATGAAGTTGATGAACAACAAAATAATTACAAATAGTTCAGACAAGTCATTCAACTTGAATTTGGAAATGATTAAAAAGGCATTACCTAAAGGTGAGTCTTTTCCAAGTTCTTACTATGACGTGAAGAGATATATTAAAGACCTGGGTTTTGGTTACACCACAATATATGCTTGCCCTAATGATTGTGTTTTATTTTTGGGGGATCTTCTACATGAGAGGAAATTTTTGTGTGATCATTTTGAAAGTCCTGAATTCAAGGTAATATCTCAATGATTAGGTTGTGATCATGTTTGTGCCATACCTGCTGCTAATTTTCAAAATGGTATGATGTGTAGAGGCATAGTGTAGCAAAAAAAAAAAAAAAAAAAAAAACAAGGGTAAGCAGACATATGCTCATACTACAGGTGTAAGTTGTGCAACCAGCAAATGTATGAACTTGCAAGAAGTCATTTTCAGTGGGTGATCGAGTAGTCGACAATAATTTTTTAAGGGATTTGTGAATGATTTAATTACTTTTTCATGGTTTGAACTAGGATCAAGTAAGACATGTAGCTGTCGTTGCAACTACTGAAGAAAATGGTGATTCTGGAGAGGTGGAGAATAGCATTCAGCCACTTGATGGAGTGGAGGAAGAGTCCCAAGAACTAAGAGTCTATGTGGACACCCACAAGAAACTTGACGTCAGTTGGGTGAATGTGGAACCCCAACAGAACTATGTAAGCACTCTTTTCGTTGTGGATGATTGGTAAGAGGATTTATGAAGTGTAGTGAATAAGAGGATAGTTGGTGTATTGAATACTTTAGCGATTAAGGGTTTGTTGGGTAAAGGAATTATCTTGATTGGTTTCTCAAATGAGGCCAATGAACATACCCTTGCGTGGTGTGAATTTATTGTGTAAAGTTTTGCTTAGAGGATTCATCTAGAGGCAGTTGAACAAGGGAATCCATTGTCAGGAGCTGAAATTGTTAATAGGGTGCTGCACAAAGAACCGTGTTATGTTAGAAAGGCAGACCTCATTTTTGAAAGAGAGAAGGAGTTGGAAGCTCGTTTGGAGACCTCTCTTGCTGAAGCAGATAAGTAGAGGCACGAATTCGAAGATAAAATCAAAACTCAGCAAGACCAGCTCCAAAAACAGGAAGAAGAGATCCGGGGTCAGAAGGTGACTATCGATGCATTGCAAGCATCATAGGACAGTATGAAGGAGTATGTGGAGTCACTGGCTGCGAAAATCAATGGGATTATCAGATGCTTAGATGAGCTTTTGTTGGGCATGGCTGATGTAGACTTTCGGTTTTCTCATTTGTTTTTAAGTATTGTGCTTCTACAAGTATGCACAATTATGGATAAGTTATGAGTGTCAGGACAAGAATGGTTGGTGGCACAAGAATGATATCCATCTTTTGGACATGTAGTTTGTTATGACAATGAAGTTTGTTTTTGTTATTATCAATGTTGTCGTAATAAATAGGGGTGGGCAATGGGCGGGTTGGGTGGATTTTTTTGTTTCAAATTGACCCACCCGCTAGCGAGTTGGAATAATTGTGACCCACCCGCAAAAGCAATTCTTCAACTAGCTATTAAGAAATTTGACTAACATTTATAATAAGTTCATAGTAAATTAGTAAAACTGTATCAATTTAAACACTTCTCACTTGGTCTCAAGTGAACCCAGGTAGTATTTGCATAAAAGTTTTCACTAGTCTATCAACCAATTGTGTAGAGAAAACTTATGCATTTTGTGATTTTGATAAAATTAATAATTTAAAGTTTTCCTCCCAATAACTAATTGATATTAACAATAATTTACATTCCAATATCCAATATCTAAATGGATATGACAACACAATAACCAATAATAGTAGTCAAAACAACATTTTTGTCATGTGAAAATAGGATGTGGGTCATTCGGGTGACCCGTAATCCACCCGCCACCCACCCACATAAGTGCGGGTGGGAAATTTATCAATCCGCAATCCACCCACATCAACCCCCACTGCTTGCGGGTCGGGTTATTTGCGGGTGTATCGATATCAATCCGCGGATTAACTACCCACGTGCCCACCTCTAGTAATAACCATCTAACTTGACTAACATAACATTGCCACAACAAGGCGTTAAGTTGACAAACAATTCGTCCAAATAACAAGTCTATATGACCAACATTGGGCAGCGTTGTCTTTGATTTGGACAAAATTCGTTTGTCAAAATAAGTACGAAGTTCTTATACTACTTGTATTATGACAAAATCTGATGACAAACTATTAGTCACAACTACATATTTTGTCGAATTAGCCGGCAAAAAAGTGTTGAATATTGTCACAACATACCCCCTGTTCTGAAAAAATAGACCCTTATTCTAACGCATCTGTTTTGTCAAAATAGGTTGATATTATTACGACATCAATTTTGCCAAAATAGGAAACACTTATTGTGACAAAAAATAAATTTTTTTATTTAAGACTTATTTATTCCGATGAGGTAGTTTTGACTAAAAGTGTGATGACTCGACTCTGCTGTCACTCCAGGAATTGGCCAAGTGCAACCACTTCCTAAAGCGTAGTATAGCGGGTTTAGGTTTAATTGTCAACCCGGGTCCTAGATGTGATGACTACTCAGTGAATTCTTGTTATCTAGCAATGAAACTGGAATGCAAGTCTAAACTACCAAACAAACAAAGCAAGTAAACTGTTGTATTCAGGTTGAGAGAGGTCACCTGGATATGGTTCCCCCTAGACTGCAGTTAAGCCGGATTGTAATTACCAAGTTCAGTTTCTATGAAAGTTATACTGCGGAAGGTTCTTAAACAGCCTGAAGTCTCGACTAAAGGTCTTCAGACCCTCTCAATCTGAATCTCTAGCGGGCGACTAACCTCCACCGGAGTAGACAGATTGAGGCCCTAAGAACAAAACCTCCACTACCGGAGTAAATCCGGTACAGAATAGTGAGTTGGTTCCTCGACTAAAGTCACCAACTCTCTACCTTCAATCAAGGATACTCTATTAACCTAGTCAGATATTCTCATTCTAGGTTAAAGCAGAAACAACAGGAATTTGATCAGGATTCAAGTCATTCAATCATTAAAACCTCAATCGAATATAATCAATCACAGAATCAGTACTTGGGTTCATACAATCAAAGCCTAACATACAAATCTAGGGTTCTCCATACCCAGATGAATGGGAGAACTACTCCATAGAGAAGAAAGCAAAAGCAGAATCAGACACGGAATTCATACTGCGAAGGATGGATTCCTGCTTCTGGACGTTGATTGGCACTTCTCCAAGCTCCAAATGGCCTCCAATGGTGTTGAAGATCAATCTAGGGCACTTGGAGACTCTTGTTCGTTGCTTTCTCTCTCTAGAAATCGCTATCTTTCTCAAAAACCCGAATCCCCCCGAATTGTGGCTGAAATTCTGCTTAAAAGGAGAAAATCCCGACTCACACGGCCAGGGTGGCACGGCCGTGCAGCTCACCCAGTTGCCCGTGTGAGTCAAAACGCATCGTTTCATTTAGTTCGAATTCCAGGCTCTTTGCACGGCCAGAATGGCACGGCCGTGTGGACATCCCCTCTTGCCCGTGTTTGCTCTCGCAGAATGTGGCACGGCCAACCCGGCCACTTGCACGGCCGTGTCGATCCTCTGCTCTGCCCGTGTGTGCTCTCGGCAAAACTCGCACGGCCAGGCCATTACTTCACACGGCCGTGCGAGTTTCAGGGCAGCCCGTGTGACCTCCCTTGTGACTTGTCTCGCGCCCGATCTTCACCCAATCCACCCCGAACTCGCTCCTAAACCTTCATTCACTTGCCAGGACCTGAAATATCACAAACAAGCACAACCTAGCGTGAAATCGGTCTAAAACACGAGAAACCACCTCTCAAACGGTGTAAGAACAGGGGTGAAAACATGTGTAACTAACGGTCTATCATGTGACAACTTATTCTGTCAAAATAAACTTAGACTTATTTTGATTTTTGACAAAACATGTTGTCAAAACAACCTAAAATGCTTGTAGTGGCTGAAACTCGGGATTTTGGCCAGTTATCCGGTTTTCTAAGTTTTGTAACAGCAAGAGAGAGCCCTAGAGAGAGAAAGTGACAAAGAACAACCTTGGGAAGAGATTGAAGTCATATAAGGTATTTGGAGCTCGATATTTCACCCTGAGCGTGCCGATTTCTAGCATGGAGCAGAATCTCATCCTTCACATGATGTCCTCTCCTTCAAGACTTGTATTTTCTCTACTGTCCATGAAGTAATCTCTCTTTTCATCTGGGTATGAAGAACCCTAGTCATATATATTTGAAATGGTTGTATGAACTCGTTTCCGTGGATGATTGACTTTGATATATTCAATTGAGGCATTATTCAGAATTGCATGATTCCTGATCAAATTCCTGTGATTCCTTCTTTAACCTAGAGTGATAGTCTCTATATAGGTTAAAAGAGAAACCTTAATTGGAAGTATTGAATCGAATACTTTAGTCGAGGAGTCGATTTGCTGCTCTGTTCTTGAATTAAAAATCAGTAGAGGAAGTTTTGTGTGTTAGTTCCTCCGTTAGCTTATTCCATTTTTCAATTACTGCATTAACCTAAAAGAGGAAATACATTATTAGGTTGATAGAGTTACTTCAATTGGTGGTAGTGAATCGATTGCGCGAATAGTGAATCAATTCACTGCTTTGTACTCGGTTTCAATCCAGTAGTGGGAGTCTTTGTTTTATGACGTTTGTATTCAATTCCGGTTGAGGATAATCTGCCTCCGGGTAGTATATTCAAGAGGGTTTTGTTTGTTTTAATCGAGATTCCAAACTAATTTCGGACTTTCCGCAGTAAACGTATCGAGTGAAATGACCTAGAGAGTAAACAACATCAGCCTAACTAAGGACTAGGGGGAAACATACTCAGGTGACTTTCTCATATGAGAATTCGAATTAATTTAGCTGTTTTGCGTCTTTAGTTCGAGTAATCGACACAATTACAATATGTTTGCTAGATAATAGGTAATTCATCGAGTAATATTAGATTTAGCAACCATAGGTTGACAATCTTTGGTTGCAATAGGCCATTTATTGGAATAGTAGTTTTAACGAATCAAACATAAAATATGAAATTAGAGGCAGTTTTCACTACGGTTAGCTAGCCAGCCCACTAACTCTTTGACAAGAATTATTTTTTGTAGTTTGATATTTTGATTAATTTAATTCGAGTTTAACAATTAATTTAATTTCTATTTATCTTATAAATGGAGGATAATTTTAAAATCACAATCCAAATACCATATATTCGAATATCTCATATTGAATTGCAATACTGAATGTGTAGAAGCGATGTATAACTCTTATTTGAGTATTAATTTGTAGAACTACCGTAAAGTAATGATATTTTTGTGCAAACTATAAGTGACAAATTCTTTGAAAGTTTTAGTTTGGTTAACAAATAAAGGTTTAATCTCTTGATAAGTTTTGAGAGATGACAGAGAAAGGGACTAAAGTGAGAAACTTTGAGAGTGTGAGGCAGCTGGGTAGTCACAGGTTTCACAATCGTTCTTTCTTGTGCAGGTCAGAAGTTTCCATGTTTGAAAGCGCGAGCGATCTGGTCGGAAAGTGTTTACGACCAGCGAGATCCGGGAGGAAGTCGGTCTCTATCTACCATCAGACGTCAGGCAACCTGGTTTGGTATAGGTTACAAGTTGAAGATGCAGGAAGAAGATGGTTTGTACCGCTGAACGAAGTGCACATCTCATGGCTCCAAGGAGTCCTCCAAACGGAAGACATGGAAAACTGGTCTTTTCCTTCACTTTGCACCAGGAGATACTTAGGATGGGCTATTCATGTTGGGAAGCTGAAAAGTCATCATGGAGATTTTCTCCAAATCTCCGAACAAGTGACGAACAGAGGGGTCTTTAAAGTGCTGATTCCATCCTCCCGGTTCCAATGAAGGATGGGCAGGCTTGATTAATCTATTACAACATTTCTACAAACTTGAGCTTTAATCCTGCTTTTGTCCCTACCTGGACCCTGCAACGTTTCTTCTTCCACCCACGCCAATGCATTTGTCAACAACCATCCTAGGAAGATGTTACGCTGAAGTAGTGAGTGAAGGGGGTTTCTATGGCGTAGGAAGCTGTAGCATCAAAGGTAGCGGTGCCGACAAATACATTTATGCTTGGCTCGAAAGGGGTCTTGGACAGACAAGAACTGCTCGGTAGGATCTTGATTATTAACTTTTCTTCTCCAGATTCTAGGAATTTAAGAGTTGCCATATTTCGGAGTTCAGAGCTTGGGCGTCTAGAGCATGGGCAATGAACGAGAACTATGGTTTCAATGATACTGCGGATGGGAACTGGCTTCTAGTTTGTCCTAATGTTGTGGATGCCATGTGTATTAAGGAGGTCGTCAATCAGTTGAGGTTCCAAGATTTCTCTATCAAGATCACTCCTTGGACAGAAAGCAACTTGGCCTGGAATTTAGATGATATATGGATTTCCATTTTCGGAATTCCTATGCCTCTCAAGAGCATTGATTAAATGATGACCAGTCGGAACTTTTGAGGTTCCTTCATTGATATTGGTTGGAACTCTTGGAGCCTTGATTTCGTGAGGATAAGAATAAAGAAGAATATGAAGATTCCAGATTCGATCCCACTTCAATTTGGATCGAAAAGATTCACGACAATGATCCTTGTTCCCTCGATGATGGCGGATGGTAGATGCGAGAATCGCCAATTTGAATGCAATACTCAAAAGGAGAAGTCGAATCGACCCTCCTCGGCAAGCACACTGCGCAACTACCCTTGGAACAACGTTCAGATCAGAGCTTCGAAGGTTAGTGAGCAAAAATGAGACGTTTCTTTTGCCAGTAATCCTTCATCTTTGACCAAGACCTTGGTTCGTAAAGAAGGCCTAATCTGGATGGGCCGAAATCCACCCTCTTTGGATCTATGCCTCAACTCCCCCTATATTGGCTATCTCTGCCTACCCCTGAGCTTTTTAGCTGTCCATTATCCTGATTGAATTTTTTCAGTCTGTTCGCTAATTGGTTTCTTCGTCCCGAGCCTTCCTTCCCTTTACGGTTCTCCCTGGATATCCTCGACACCAACAAGCTCAAGATCACCCTCTCTTGCCCATCCTCCCACAGAGCTAGTTTTCTATTACCCCATCCTCTCACCTTAAAACCCCACTTGGATCTGTACTACCCATCTTCTCCTCCCCGAATTCTTGAGGTCTTTCCTCCACCCTAGTCCACTCAAAACCGCGAACCCTTTTCCCCTCACATTGCCATCGATCGTTCCTCAGAAGTTTCCTCCCCTCCAAGTCCAATGCTCTCTTCTCCAAGTCGGCCTTCTTGTCCTCTCTCATGCCTCCCCACCTTCGTCATTGAGACTCCAGCCCTCTCCCCCTTCAATATGGAAGCACCCAAGCTACCCTCTCCCTCCGTTAACGTTGAGGATGACCGGACTATCTGGTATCTAGATCAGTATCCTTTTGACTCTTCAACTCTGGTCAGTTGCACTGTGAACTTGAGCAATCTATTTGGGTTAAAACATGAGGATGGTCCGGGCAAATTGGATGAAATTATCTTTGCAACTGCGGTCTCAATGCATAAGAAGTAAATAAAAATTCCCGATCGAAGCTCGAAATGGAAAGAAAGCGTTTGGGCCCTGTTTCGCCTCCTCCTTCGGGTTCAAGAAGGTGCAAGAAGACTACTAGTGTAGTATCTTCTCTCTGTTTGGCCAAATGAATACCTCTATTTTTATCTGGAATGTTAGAGGAATCTGCGATTTGGATAAGAGAAGTTGAATCAAACACTTAATCAGCAGGCGCAAACCTCATATTCTTGCTCTCGTGGAAACTAAATGGACCTCTCGGTCAGATGTCCTTGTGGGAAGCGTGTGTGGCAGAAGAGATATGGAATGGGTTGCTAAAGATTCTACGGGCAGCTCAGTGGGATTGTTATCTGCTGGGAAAAAATCCATTTCCAGAAATTATCCAGTAGCATTGGGAATTATTTTCTTGAGGTGGAATTCTTGGAATTGCTTTCTTCGAAATCTTGGAGGTTCGTCGCTGTTTATGGTCACCAAGACAGAAGGGATAAGTTGATTTTTCTTAATGAACTCCATAGTTATTGCCAAAATCACCAATCTCCAATCTGTATTGCGGGGGACTTTAACATGGTCATCTCGTGAGGATTATCAGGGGGGAAGAAGAAGCAATGAATTGATGAACAACTTCAAAAGTTTCATTGAGGATAATGATCAATTGGACTTACCTATTAGTGGTTGTAGTTTTACGAGGAGTTTAGGGGCGAACATCAATTCCCAAATCCCGTATTGATCGGGTGTTGATTTCTCTAGACTTCGATTCCCTCTACATGGATTTCAGGTTGATTGGTTCGTAAAAGGTGGATTCTTACCACTCCCCTCTTCTCTTTCAATGGGGTGATAACATGAAGAACAATCGCCCTTGGAGGTTTGAAAACATATGCCTAGAGGATGATCGTTTTTTTACTGGTTTAAACTCTTGGTATTCTAAGCCTCTACAGGGTAATGGAGAGGTGTTTTAGATTTTATAAAAGGATAAAGGATTTGAAGCAGAATATCAAGACTTGGAATAAGGAGCTGTTCGACAAAATCCACACAAGAGTTGATCTTCTCAATGACTTCAAAGATTTAGGCCTGATTAAAGAAACCCGGCCTCTGACCGATCTTGAGGTTTCTGCTCTTGTAGAGAAGAAGATGGAATTGAAAAAGGCTCTTTTGATGCAAGAAATTTGTTGGAGACAAAAGTTTAGGGAGGTCTGGCTCAAACATGATGATCAAAATTCTGGTTTCTTTCACAAGATGGCAAACTTCCGGAGGAAAGTGAATTTCATTTGGCAGATTAAAATCAATGATGCTATGGTGGAAGGCAGTGACGACATTAGTCCTGGGGTTGTGGAGTATTACTCAAACCTTTTTCAGGAGGAAGTCCAGATACAACCTTTCCCCCGCATCTATGCCACGATTTGTTTGGACTCGATTGAATCTGCTTCTCTTGTTGTTCCTTTCACGGAGAAAGAAATTTGGGACTGCCTCTCGAACAGTGATGGATCCAAGGCCCCTGGACTTGATGGGTTCTCTCTTGAATTTCTTAAGTAATGTTGGAGTGTGGTCAGAACTGATGTTTTGAACGCTTTTTAAGAGTTTCATGAGAGATGTACTCTTCCTAAATGTAGTACTGACTCCTTCATATGCTTGGTCCCTAAGAAAGATGCTATGGAAGATATCAAAGACCTTCGTCCTATTGGCCTGATTGGAAGCATGGATAAAATGATATGCAAAGTGTTATCTAGAAGACTCTACCAAGTTCTCCCTACCTTGGTCTCGGATTTCAGCAAGCTTCGGTAAAAGGTAGGCAAATTTCAAAAGCCAGACTCATTGCTAACGAGCTTGTCGATAACAGAAGGAGGAGTAGGAAACCGGGTCTAATGCTAAAACTTGATATTGAAAAAGCTTTTGACAATGTGAAATGGGGCTGCCTGTTCAAGGTTCTTACAAGACTGGGTTTTCATGAAAAGTGAAAGAAATGGATTCAAAGCGCGGTTTGTTCTCTGACTATTTCTGTCTTGATTAACGACGAATCAAAAGGTTTCTTTCCAGCCCTTAAGGGGCTTAGACAAGGGGATCCGCTCTCCCCCAGACTGTTTGTTCTCGTTATGGACATCCTTTCGTTTATGCTGTCCAAGCTCAGAGAAGAGGGCAAAATAAAATTCTTCTTTATGGATGAAGATAAACAACAAGGGGAAGTGACCCACTTCCTGTTCGCTGATGACACTCTCATCTTTTGTGACTTGTCTCACGATCAAATCCTTCATATTTCTGCTGCTCTTGCCTGTTTCCATGCTGTTACAGGTTTAAGAATCAATTTGGACAAGACAGTTATGTAACAGTTGGGGACATTCCCGAACCAAAATTCTTTGCTGACATCTTGGGTTGCAAATGGTGTTCTAATTATCCTAAATACCTCGGTTACCCAATTGGAGTCAACCTGAATGGCAACACTTTCTGAAAACCGGTCGTGGATAATTATAAGAAGATGTTCGAACGATGGAGCAGTAGATACCTCTCGGCCAGGGGGAGACTTGTTCTCATTAAATCTGTCTTGTCCAACCTCTCAGGATACTATTTCACACTATTTAAAGCTCTTAAGCAGGTGATTAATAATCTGGAAAAAATGCAGCAGAATTTTCTTTGGATTGGCGATGGAGATAAGAGGAAAATTCCCCTAGTTGAGTGGAAGATATGCAAATCTAACAAGGATAATGGCGGACTAGGTATAAGGGACCTTGACACGCTAAAACACCACCAAACTGCGACTAAGTGTAATCGCAGTCCGACAATGCAGACTAGTGGCAAGTTCTATTTGTCAACCCTGGGTATAGATTTACTACCTACTCCGTGATTATTTATTATCAAGCAAACTAAGTCGAGTGATTGTGATTTTAAGTAAAAGCAGTAAGAAAGCAGGAAATGGTTCAAAGTTCTTCAGCAAGGGAAGAGTCACTCGGGAATGAGTCCCCCTAGCTCCTTAGTTAGGTCAAGGTTGTAATTACCCTGGGTTGATTAACTGTTGATTAAACTGCGGAAGATCCGACAGTAGCTTGGAATCTCTTAAGCTGACCAAGCCCTCTCAGGCAGACTAACCGGCAGGAGACTAGCCTTCACCAGGATAGACTGCTGAGGCAATAAACGCAGAACTCCACTACTGGAATTGGATTCTAGTACAAAACAGTAAATCGATTAATTCTCGTATAACCGATCTACCACAATCGATTGATGAAGCTCTAACAACCTAATCAAATTCTATCTATCTCAGGTTGCATCAGAAATCAAGAAAAGATGATCAGGCTTCAATTGACTCAATGAATCATGCATCAATCGATTAAAATCAATCAATATAT